AAGGGGAAAAAAGGGGAAGGGGAAAAAAGGGGAAGGGGAAAAAAGGGGAAGGGGAAAAAAGGGGGGAAAAAGGGAAAAAGGGAAAAAGAAGAAAAAAGAAAAAAAAGAAAAAAAAGAAAAAAGAAAAAGAAAAAAAAAGAAAAAAGAAGACTGAGAGGTGTCAAGTTTTCAAAGACACAAAGGCTGATGCAAAGGGAAAAAGAATAAATCTCTCTGTATCCACAGCAGATAGGAGACAAGTGGAGGATTTAAACTGCAGCCTGGAAGGTTTGGGTTAGACATCCAGCAGTCAACTCCTCTGCCTCACTGCCCTTCCACTAACAGCATTTCCTTGATGCGCTTACGGAACCTTGATTACTGGGGGCTTGGAAAAAATCGGTTAGATGCAAAGTCATCAGGGACATCGCAGAGAGAGCTGATCCCGCCCTGAAGCAGAGAATGGGACTAGACGACCGTGAGGTCCCTCCAGCCTTATTCTGCTATGAGTCCATGGATTTTATTTTTTTTTTAAATAATTGCTTTTTAGAAGAGCAAGTTCAGACAATGCCTGCTCTACGTGACGCTGGCAGCAACATCCCCTCAAGAAAGCGAGTAGAAAATGACCAAGCTGCCACATGCGGTGGTCCGGTCTCACTGGAAGCGTTCCAGAGGAGGGAGGTCCTCCTTCGTGACACGGGATGGCAAAGAGGGCCGTCGCAAACGTTCACGATGGGCGAGCGCAAGGAAAGCATTCAGAACTCCTGCACTAATAATCGGGGAATATCAAGGTAAAAGAAGACTGAGAGTCTGAAGTTCTTTATATCCAGCAGAAGTTTTCAGTTTTAGAAGCCGATATTCCCTCCAGCGAGGCCAAGCTTAAAACTACCACTTGGTCCCCAAAACCTGAGAGATTGCAAAGCTAGCAAATTTCCCAACTCAGGGAAACGTCCCCTACATTCAACCTGGCCAGAAGAGGGGAACCTTATTTCAGGACAAACTTTACACTTTGCATTCCGAGCTGCCCAGAAGATACTTACACATATTGAGCTGCCGTACAAAGCTGGCCATGTTGTTATGTTTGAAGTACTTTGGAAGCACCTCCTTGGCAAATTGGCCTTGGTCAAACACATGGAAGCTGTTTCCACTCTGTCAAAAAACAAAGCAAAAGGAAACATTATCAACCACGGCTGCACAGAAAGAGAGAAGCCCACCTGCCTTTTCGTTTCACAAATAGAAATTCTACGTCGCTGTGGGCGAGACCAGTAGCGGCCCCATCTCTTGGAGCCCCTTAGCTGCAGGTAAAATGCAGTTTATTAGCTTTGTTGGACGCTGTTACCATCTGACCAGTGCAAGCTCCCATGAATACAGTTCAGAGGGACCTCAACGACATCCTTCGGCTCCCGATGCAGTTAGCGTTTAGCACGTCGCTGCGTCTCAGCTGAGCCAGGCTAACTGCCCACAGGAGCACTCTTAGCCAACGGGGACTAAATCGCATTTCCTTGCGCTCGGCCCAGAAGAACAACACACATCTGGCAGGTATCGAGAGCGGGCAGACAGCCGGTAACTCTTTATGCTGTGATCAAGAACCTGCAGAGCACAACTCCCCAGAGACTTAGAAAAACAACCCAGGAGGTTAAGCAGGCTGCAAAGATTAAACCTCAATTTGCACAACTGCAAATCTATTCATTCCCCAACTTGTCCCAATTAATTTGTTTTCGTATCTACAGCAACAGCCAACGATCTTCCGAGCGAATTAAAACGACCGGGCTAGTCTGACTTTAAACATCAACATCTGCAAACAAACGAAGACAATTCTGTGTCCTGCCAGTCTCGGGCAGCTCGCCGTGCCCATGCAGACAGGGCAGGTGAGGTCCAGAGCCGCTGAAAGCAACACGCGCTGTTGCTGGCAGAGCGAGAGCAACACTGACTAACGAGTTTTAATTTTTCACTGCGACTGATAAATGTTTTCTACGTGTTGATTTAAAAAGTGGGAATAGGTAGGAGACAGGAGGAAACACTCCTGCCCCTCTAAACCCTGAGGTGCTTCTGCTGTCGGATTTTGGAAAACGAGTTATCGCCAACAGAACAGTGCACGCCAAGAATAATTAGTTATTTTGACTATTATAACTATCTTGACTAGTAGTCAGGATCACATTTCAGCCACTTAGCTTTCAGGTCTGTGGTGCCGTTTTATCAAGTATGGTTTCTATTACCTTTCTGGCACGCTGAGCAGGAATTATACTGTCAACATAAGCATCTGCAAAACAGCAAAAGAAGGGATTTTCATTCTGGCAAAGCGACACAAGAACTCCAAACGCATTTTACAACCCGGATTCTCTTCCATGACGAAGTCCTGCTCCTGATCCACCCTCCTGCTAATATCATCCCACGCACCACCAGCACACAGCGCTGGCAGGAGCACCACAGGAGAGCCAAGCCCGACAAAACACTGACAAGCCATTGCATGGCCAGGAAGCAATCAGACTTCTTAGTTCAAAAGAAAAGCGGCAGGGCCAGGCCAGACCACCCACGCGACAGCAGAGGGATGGTGCCTCCAGAACCCCAAAGTCCCGTCCCCGTCCCCCCCCCGGTTCACAAGTGTGACTCGGTGAAAGCACCTTCACAAGCAGGGGCTGCTACTTCGGTATTAAACTAGGTCATGCCGCACAAGAAGAGCCCCCTCACCCGTTACTGTGCTGAGCAACAAGACGAACACGAAACCACCAGCGCCCCGCAAACTCCAGCCTTGTCAGAGCAGCGGTACAGCTAACCACGAGCATCTGCAGGCAGCCTCCAAGTCCCAGCGTGAACCTCCAGGGAAAAGATGAGGCCAAGGTCTTCTGGACTGACTTAAGAGTATCAGACCAAATATCCACAGGACTTGATTTTCAGACAGGCACGTCTTGCTTTTAAAGTTACTGGGCACGTTCAATGTAGCACTAACCCTAAAGAATTAAGACTACTAAAAAAACCCCTCAGACTTTAAAAGATTCCGCCTGCCAATGACAAAACCAGGTAAGGGTTTATTAAAAGTTGACAGTTTGGGCTTTTTGGCCCATGGATGAGTTTCTTTACGCCTTCAGAGGATTCACCTGCGTTGGAGTATTTGTTTTCATGAAGGTCCTTTACTCCTTATCCAATGCTTACGAGTACTCTGAGTTGATTCTAACAGCAAAAAATGCAACAGAAAGATGGCGATGAAGGAAGGCAGTGCACACTAGCCATCTCCCTAAAGATGGCGACCCACAATAAAGAAAACACCTTTGACTCCCTTTCCAAGCCTTTTTTTTTTTGCTGGAGTTGCTCCACTCAAGAATTCTTGCTTTTTTGCCCCCTAAAATAACGAATTTTGCTGGTGGTGTCCTCTGTGTGCTCCACAGCACTGCAGCCATTCGCTGTACGTCGCCCCATCCAAAATACTCTGCTCCCTTTATCTACGTCCAGATCCCCCCACCTGCCCCCCCACTTAACTCCGCTCCTGCCCAGCCCTGTGATCTTCCCAGGTCTGGCTCTTCCACAGGAGTCTGTCCATGCTGCTAACAAGCGTAACAGATTTTTTCCCCTGTTTTCATAGAAGGATGGCTACTACGTCTGTCAGCTTCAAGGAGTTTCACCCAAGTCTCAACGCTGTACCTGTTCATTCCAAGAAGAGGGGAGGAAGAGGGAACTGAAGACAGGCTCTCAGCCTTCAGATCTAATACTATCAGAATCACCACACTGGTGATTTCCTTCACAACGTTGTTTGAGATTCATCCTAAAATTTGTATTTTTAACACTGTACCACTTAAGCATTTCTCTCCGCAATTATTAGTAATACTCCCATTTCCAGACTGTTTATGGCCGGCTTATGCACAGTTCCTCGCACCCACACCAACTACCTTTCGTTTAACCAGCTCCTCTCCCATCCCGGTGGTAGTCCAATGCCAATCGGCACGCACACATGCCCAACACACGGCTACCGTTGCTTAGAGCGGCTGCTGCTGCAAAGCGGCACAAGACTTAGAATCATAGAATAGTTTGGGTGGGAAGGGACCTTTACAGGTCATCAAGTCCAGCCCCCCTGCCGTGGGCAGGGACATCTTCAACTAGATCAGGTTGCTCAGAGCCCCGTCCAACCTGACCTTGAACGTTTCCAGGGATGGGGCATCCACCACCTCTCTGGGCAGCCTGTGCCAGTGTTTCACCACCCCCAGCATAAAAACTGTCTTCCTTATATCTAGTCTAAATCTCCCCCCCTTTAGTTTAAAGCCGTTCCCCCTTGTCCTGTCGCAACAGGCCCTGCTAAAAAGTTTGCCGCCATCTTTTTTACAAGCCCCCTTTAAGTACTGACAGGCTGCAAGAAGGTCTCCCTGGAGCCTTCTCTTCTCCAGGCTGAACAACCTGCGAGTTGACTTGGGAGTAAGCTGGAAGGGCAGAAGTCTAAGGTATGTAAGAGGTTTACAGGAAAACCAACCTGAATGAAATTGTCTGTAAGTGACAGGATTATTTGCACAGTTAGGACTAAACCAGCCCCGCACAGGCGTTAACCAAATTCTGTCTCACTTCTATTAGTCCAGTTCTCAAGGTCATCCGGTTTCTTCTGCACGGCATCCCAAATCTTTGCTGTGTTAACAAAGCCCAACAGTGTTCTGTGAAAAGTTTCTCAACACACCCAATGTGCCAAAGTCATTACAAAAACCGCATTCAAAAAGACTGTTCAAAGATTTCATCTTGGAGCAGCTCTGCCACGACCTCTCCCCAGACTGGAACAACCCTCCAAAAACTAACTGTTGTCTCTGCTTTAGCCAGTCCCTCCCCCACAACTCTCATATTAATCCTCATCTTCTCCACTTTCATTTGTGATTTTCCATGTGGCGGAGTATCAAATGCTTTGCAGAAGTCCAGACACATTAGATACACCCCCATTCCTTTATCCAGAAAAGAATTTCATGTCCAGAGGAGAGGTGAGGAAGTACAATCAATTTTTGGTAAATCTGTTGTATCTTGTCCCATTTCCATTTACTTCTATGGCTTTAGTTATTCTCCTCTTCAGAATCATGTCCAAAGCACTTCAAACCATCAAGGTCAGACTAGTTAGTCATTAATGCTCCTCGTCAAACCAAATAGGTTATACAAAGGAGGTTAAGCATCTTTCTTGGGGTGACTGCTTACGTGGCAGAAAGGGGATGAGGGGCCTCCTGTTCTAAATCCGGCTTCTCCCTCACTGTTACGGGATGCCACCACAAGGATCTCAGCTCCCTGGACTGGAAGAAGTGTCCCGTTCCCCGTCCCCCCCCCCAGCTGAAATTCCCCTGTTGGACACCTGCTTGCTTTGCCTGCTGGAACCACACTCGGTGTTAATGATGTGACCCAACGGGACGGCGCGGGAGTTGGACCATTTCCCAGCAGTTATCAGGGTTTGTTGAAAGGGAAGAAACAATGCAGGCAGATTTCTTCACGGGGTAGCGCAAAAGTTATGACAGTAAATGAAATACAGCTCATCTTGCGTAATTTTGGTATATTTTTATCTTGACGCGTTCCAAGTCTAGTTCAGACAGCATCAAACATTTTAGCACAGATCAGGTTGTTTTGTCAAAAGCCTTAGCTCTCCCTAAGAGGGGGACAACATGAAGTCAAATTGACTCATGTAATACTAGACATTTTCAACGTGTTGGCCAGCACCGTGCTCCTAGTCTAGACGGGCTCTGACCACCCACTGCATACTCCAGGTCTCCACATCTGCACTGGCACCCTTCTGCTCTTCCCATTCTCCTCCCGCAAAGCCTCGCCGGCTTGAGACACCATTTATTCTTCTGGCGGACAAAAAAGGAGGTGCCCCCAAAGGATTTTCTGAAACTGATGCTGGGGAGGAAAAGTCAGTCGATTAGGGAAAGCGGCTGAGTTTAGGCTGGGTGCAGAGAAGTCTCCTTCCTAGGCCAGCGGGTGCTTATAAGCCACCGCACACTACTTGCTCCTCTCCCTGCTGCCCACACAGGCTCTGTAGCAGGACATTTAACAGAAACCCTCAATGACCTTTTCAGAATTACGATTGCAGAAGGGCACTTGTGTTTAGCAAACGTCTTTCCACTCTGTTTACAGCAGTAATAGTAGTTCTATAATGCAATAAACTGCTCAAACTTTGTTGTTAATCAGTTCTTGATGGCACC